ACCTCCACTATTCCCCCCTCCTCGTCCCAATCTCCTCCCAGTCCACATGACACGGCCCACCCACCCGAAGCAACCCAGCATCCTCAGCCCACTCATCTCATGACCACCCGCGCTAAGGCCGGGATCTTTTGCCCTAAACGAGTCCTAAACCTAAACATCGTTGCTAGCATCTCTCCCATTCCCCCCACCTACCGTAGTGCACTTAAAGATCAAAATTAGTACAATGCTATGTTAGATGAATATAATGCTTTGATTGCTAATAATACATGGGATTTAATACCTCCCTCCCCTAACCAAAATATTATCTCCGGTAAATGGCTTTTTAGACACAAACTTAGCCCTACAGGTGAACTGTCCAGGTACAAAGCCAAATGGGTTGTTCGAGGATTCAATCAGTGTCATGGCATAGATTATGATGAGACATTCAGCCTGGTGGTCAAACTGGCAACTATACGGATCATTCTCAGTTTAGCCGTATCACGAGGATGGCCAATTCACCAGCTTGATGTCAAGAATGCCTTTCTTCATGGCACTCTCACAGAGACGGTATACACGGCCCAACCATCTGGATTTCAGGATCCTGCCCGACCCCACTATGTGTGCAAACTGAACAAGGCGCTCTATGGACTGAAACAAGCACCACGGTCTTGGTATCAGCGTTTTACTGGCTTTCTTCTCACGATTGGCTTCCGCGGGTGCAAGAGCGACACCTCACTGTTCACTTATGGCCAGAGGTCTCAGATGGCTTTCCTACTTCTATATGTTGATGACATCATTCTCACGGCTTCCTCACAGGATCTTCTACAGCGGGTCATACAGCGGTTGAAGGGTGAGTTTGCTATGACAGATATGGGGGACCTATATTTCTTTCTCGGGATCAATGTTCAGCGCACCTCCCGTGGCTTGTTCCTGACACAGACTCAGTTTCTCTATGATATTCTTGATCGAGCGGGCATGCTCAACTGTAAACCAGTTTCCACTCCGGTTGATACACGCGGGAAACTGTCAGCTTCAGGAGGAACACGTGCGCCAGATCCCTCTCTTTACCACTCCATTGTGGGAGCCCTACAGTACCTCACCTTCACTCGTCCTGACATCACTTATGCCGTGCAGCAGCTCTGTCTCTTCCTACATGATCCACGCACGCCCCATGTCACGGCCATGAAGCGGGTTTTGCGATACCTTCATGGAACACCATCACATGGCATCTCCATCTCCAGATCTCACACAGACCAGATGCGGGCCTATTCTGATGCCGATTGGGCCGGCTGCCCTGACACCCGCCGGTCCACTTCCTGCTACTGCATATTCCTTGGCGATAATCTCATTTCCTGGTCTTCTAAGCGCCAGCTCACCACGTCCAGATCCAGTGCCGAGGTAGAATATCGAGCAGTAGCCAACGCCGTAGCCGAGGTCAGCTGGATACGTAATCTTCTCTTCGAGCTCCAGCAACCACTCAGTCGATCCACTCTTGTTTTTTGTGATAATGTGAGTGCAGTCTACCTCTCTGCAAATCCTGTTAAGCATCAGCGCACGAAGCACATCGAGGTTGACATACACTTCGTTAGAGACCGCGTGGCTCTCGGACAGGTCCGCGTACTACATGTCCCTTCGTCTCTCCAGTATGCTGATATCTTCACGAAGGGTCTTCCATCCATCATTTTTTCAGAATTCCGGGATTGCTTGGGCGTTCGGC